TTTTTTTAATATATTTGTGCATGCAGGCGGAGACAGGGTTGGTGGACGAGGCTGAGGTGTACAATAGAAACAAAAAACATACATATCTGTATACATAAACAAACAAAACAAAACAAAAAAAAAAACAAAAAAAACTAAGACAAAATAAAAAATAGATAAAAAATAGATAAAAAATAAATAAAAAATAAATAAAAAATAAATAAAAAATAAAAAAAATAAATAAAAATAAATACATATTCTCTTTCTTCTCCTGGTGTTTCTCCTAGACTTTGTAAGATAGCTGCTTCTTCTTGGAGAAATTTTGCTGCTGCTGCTGCTGCTGCTGCTGCTGTTTTGTGTCTCTTATAGTGCGGCCGCAGGCTGCTTATAACTTCATACACCTCAGCCTCGTCCACCAACCCTGTCTCCGCCTGCATACACAAATATATATAAATATAAATATAAATATATATATAAATATAAATATAAATATAAATATATATATAAATATAAATATAAATATAAATGTAAATGTAAATATAAATATAAATATAAGCATCAATGTAAATATAAACATACATATAAATATAAATATAAAAACAAATACAAATATAAACATAAAAATAAACAAATAAAAATAAATCTAAATAAACAACAAGTGAAAATAAATAAAAAAATAAAAAGATGAGAAACCATAAAAAATAAAGAAAAATAAATAAAAGTAAATAAAAGGCAAAAACAAATAAAAAAATAAAAAATAAATAAATAAATAAATGGATAAAAGTAAATAAAAAGCGATAACAAATAAAAAAAAATAAAAGTAAATAAAAAGCAAAAACAAAAAAAAATAAATAAATAAAACTAAATAAAAAACAAAAAAATAAAAAACAAATAAAACTAAACAAAAAGCTAGAAAATAAAAAGTAAAAAATAAAAAAAAAAGATAAAAAGCAAAAACAAATAAAAAAAATAAAAAGTAAACAAAAAGCAAAAAAAAAAAATAAAAAGCAAAAAAAAAAATAAAATAAAAAAAAATAAATTACTTTGAGTTTAGCGTGAGCCTCAAAGAGAAGAAGAAATCGATCAAGTTTATGTT